AAAAAGAGTGAGACTCTGTCTCAAAAAAAAAAAAAAAAAAAAATTATATGACTTGATATATGTATGGCTTACAGTTTAAAAAGGATAACTTGAACTTGATCCTTCCTTGCTATAGAAAAAGAAAGTCAATTTAAATAATAACAGGGTAAAAGATTTTTGCTTCTCAAAAGATAAAAGAGCAATCTCAAAAATTCAATTCTCATTCAGTTTTCTACATATTTACTCCCAAACAGTGATGATATTAAGTTCTTAAAGAATTACTCACCCAATGAAAGCCACCATCTGCTCCACTATGTGCTTGCTGAATGTTATTATAACAAAAATTTTCTGTAAAGAAAACACCAGTTAAAATAGTCATCAGAAAAACCAATATAAATTTACATTTCTGATAATAGTCTAAAAGGGTGAGATTGTGCCCCTAATTGCAATTTTTAAATTTCTTTAAAAATAAAAGGCACTATGTAATTCAAATGTTAATTTATTTATTCATTCATTCATTCATTCGTTTATTTATTTATTTTCTTGCTCTGTCCCCCAGGGCTAGAGTGCAGGGGAGAGATCATAGCTCCCTGCAGCTTCAAATTCCTGGGCTCCAGTGATCTTCCTGGCTCAGCCTCCCAAGTCGCTGTAACTACAGGAGTGTGCTATCAATGCCTGGCCAATTTTAAAATTTTTTGTTGCTAAGGCTAATTTCAAACTCCTAGACCCAAGTGATCCTCCCATCTCAGCCTCCCAAAGTGACAGGATTATAGGCATGAGCCATCTTGTCTGGCTCACTTTGTATTTTAAAGATGTTTTTCCTTAAGCACAGCTCTTGTCTTGCTAGGATACATGATCATATCTGAGGGAAAATATGAGTCACCAAATCCAAGAATGGGAAGGAATAGTGGACATTTACAAATCCTAGGTATCTCAGAATCGTGTATATAACTGAAGTCGTGGGTTCCCATATAGCCCCCACCACTGAAATTAAAGCTGATTACCCCGATGACAGGGGTAAATTTAATCCAGAAGATAACAAAAAGACTGTACACCTTTCCTGGAAAGTTTTTATAGAAGTACCATGAAAATTCCATTTCCAGATCCTGAGTGAGCTTGCCTTTCAGGCTTAGGGTTAAGGGATCCTTATCAGAACTGGGACATTTTCAGTTTGATGTTAATGAGGTACTCTTCCCCATTAAATAAAAATGTTGCTACTTTACATTACTCACAAAGATGTCTTTAGTGGCTAACAGGTAGCAGTAGCAAATGTTTTCATCTCAATTCAACAAACATTAACATAAAGTACTTACTATGGATAATATAAGACATTGTTAAAAGTTTTCAGGGAACACAAATCTGAGAACACTTCTTCAAAGCCCTGAAGAAGTTTATTAATTTTTCTACAAATAGTAGAAAGATAGTAGTACAAATATATATATTAAAATATAAAACTACAAATGCCATTAGTGGTAAAAACAAACAAACAATGTGTTATAGAAGTTCAGAGAAAGGAAAGGTCACGTTTAATTGTATGATTACAGATTTAAGAAGGTGATATTTAAGTTTAGCTTTAAGTATGAATAATTTTGGATTCTCTCTCTAAATTCCTGATAACAAACTCATTAGGCTTCTGTTATTGTTTTCTAAATAATTACTTTAGTCAATGTAACCAAAGAGGAGGGGAAGAAAATAAAATAATTAATAATAGTCTTTTTATCCAACCATTAGGAATCTCAGGAAAGTAGGTAGAGTTAGACTAAAGCCTACTATTTCAGGTAGAAGATTATTAAGGCAATGTTACACAATTGGTGCATGAATATTATAAAGCTGACAAGGCAATCATTACAGATAACATAGGGAAAAAAGCATTAATATATGGGGGCGCATACCAAAAGCCAGTTATTTAGAGCTATAAATCTTTTATTAATCAACAGGGCTAATGGTTTTGCCTCTCAGTGATTTCACCACCATGAGTTTTTCCTACCATCATTTCCTAACATTCAAAATAAACCAATGCCCAGATAATTGCACAATTCCATTGCTCAAAAACAAAACAAGATTTTCTTTTTATATGTAACAGCTTGAAAATTCACCGTTCTAGGCAAGACATAAAATGTGTCAGACATTTTAGAACATGTCTCAGAGTCTTTCAGGCTAGAGATCAGAGTGGGGATTCTGTCAAAGAAACAAAAGGCACAGACCACCAAAGAGCCCCCCCTTCAACTGTGTGCACAGAGGAAATGAGGGATAGGGCAGAATAGGAAGAAATAAAAGAGATATGGGTAGGGGAACTAATGGTGTCAGAATGAACAAAGAAGAAACCATCTGTAAAAAAAAGGGTCTTTCATTGGAAAGAAGAATCACAGATTCAGTTATTAAATATTTATTGAGTGTCTACTATGTGCCAGATGCTATTCTAGGCATTAGAATACCTCAGTGAAACAGACAAAAATTTCTGCCCTCCTGGAGCTTATAATTCATGTATGTGTATGTGCTAGTGGGTGGAAAGGTAGACAGGCAATAAATAATACTCATGCTAAATAAGTTATATGGTACATGAAGTAATATAAATGAGTGTGTTAACTTTCTTTATTATTTGGGAGAAAGGCAATATCTCCAAGGATCCTTCTACATGCAGAGGACTTGACCTTGTCCAGTGGAAGGGGAACTCCTGATATAACATTACAGGTGAACTCATTTGAATTTTTTAAGTGAAGGTTAACAGCAAGACATCAATAAAAACAACATTTATCAAAGCAGGTTATCTCACTTTAAGCTGAGGAAAAAGGGAAGAGAGAAAAGCAGATGAGGAGACAGGTTTACTATTAGAACACAGAAAAGTCTGTGTGAGGGGGCTTCCCCCCTATTATTTCAGAAATGGTTAAAATGTTTATCTTACTACTAGTGTTGTTTACCCAAGGAATGAGAAATGTTTGTTACTCTAAGCTACATCTGGATGTACATCAAGTAACATGCCTTTATGAAGTATGTCACTATGATACAATGGAACATAGCAAACATAGCCCATGATCTTAGTTTAGAGAAGGAACTCAGATTCTTTCCTCTCAGAAAATGGATTTTAGCTTTTTTTTTTTTTTTTTGCTTCTACATAGGTACAGGGAATGAGCTTTATCTTTACAGAGTTTGGTTTGAATTCTAGGGCCTTAGAAAAGTATTTTACCTTCTTTAACACAGTTCCCTCATCTATGAAATGTGGATAATAACTACCTCACAGGACTGTTCTGACAATAAAATAACCAATGCAATACCTGGCACAGGTCCTGATTAATAGCAGGCATTAAACATTTAGTTTCCTTGATCATATAAATAATCTGTAGTTAAGAAGGTAATGTAAAGAAATGGAAAAAACACCGAAAGTCTTGATGCCTGAAGACTTGGGTTCAAATTTCAGCTGTTACTCTCTTAGGCAACTATTACCTACTAACCTTCCTATGCCTAACAATTACAAAATGGGTACAATAATTTCTCTATCCCAGGACTATAAGAATTAAACCAGATAACATACACTAAGCGCTTTGAAGTATGAGGTA